GGAAGGAAGGAAGGGGAGGCTGCCAGCCGGGCAAGGGCTTGGTGGGGGACGGAGAGCGGGCGGCAGAGCCTCCCTGCCTGCCTGCCGGCCTAGGCCCACAGCACCAAGCCGCCCTCGGGAGTTCTGGGTCGCGGCCACACGTGCCGCGCAGTCCCGTGTCTCTCAGACTCCCGCCGGCATCAACCACGCAGATCGGCCTTTGGGGGACCTCGCCCTCCCGCCGCCCCCCTCCTCTTAAAAGCACTTCGTGCCTTTTAGTGTCCTGAGGATGGTCTTTCTAGGCGCCCTTTGTGGTCCCTTGCGACACGAGTTTGGGGAGTGTGTTTGTGTCTGTGTGTTTGGGGGGGGGGAGGAAGGAAAGCAAAGATGGACCTCTTCTGCGCAAGATGCAGGAGTTGCTCCGGGTTGCTCTTCGTGGCCCCCAGTCTGGACCTGGCTCGGGAGTGCCCGTGCCTTGCCCCGTATCACTGGGGGGGGGGAGGTCTACTCGGGAGTGGCCATGAAACCCCCACACACACACTGGGATAGAAACCCCATTGCTTCAGTCCCGTGAGCGGGGATGGCAGGGTGGAAAGACTCTGGCAAAGCCAGGAAGGACCTGTTATCTTCCCAGTCTGTGGTTGGCGCATCTCTGAAGGATTGCTTTGCACATTTGCCCTTATAATTTGTTGCCAAAAAAACTGGCACATGAATTTGTTTTTGCATCGTAAAAGAAAAGTACTTATTATTTTATTTGTTTCATTCTCAGCCTTTTCTCGAAGGAGTTCCCGTTTTCGCAGTTCACCTCCTCCTTGTTTTGTATCTTCACAACAACCCTCTGAGGTAGGTTAGGCAGAGTGACTAGCCCAGCATCATAGTATATAATTCTGCAGTGAAAAGAAACCCACATTTTGTTAATTGGGCCTTTCTCCCTGATAAATGCTGTAAGCTGCCCCGAGACCTTCGGGTTGAGGTAGGTTAGGCAGAGTGACTAGCCCAACATCATAGTAATAATTCTGCAGTGGAAAAAACCCACATTTTGTTCACTGAGCCTTTCTCCCTGATAAATCTGCTTGGGATTGTCCTTTTTGCAATCTAATGGGCACTTGATCTCTTTGAGAGTTCAGTGGATTCAAAGTCATCAAGGTATATTTGTAGGTAAACATGCATAAAATTGATTTACAGTGCAAACCTCTGCATATCTACCAAGAAAAAAGCCTTATTTTTCATTGGGACCTAATGTGTGCACAGGATTACAGCCATGTGGTGGCAGAAGCTAATATGGATTAAAGTCCACTTAGACTGTACAGTTTGGATCCAGGATACAGGAAGAGCTGTTGTTCCGTGTCGTCCAGTTGCCTCTGACTTTTGTTGACCCTATGAATGAGAGATCTCCAAAATGACCTGTACAAATATACCTTGCTCTGCTGTTGTAACCACAAGCCCGTGGGTTTCTTAAATCCATCTCGTATTTGGTCTTCCTCTTTTCCTGGAGCCTTCAATCCTTCCCAGCATTTTTTTCTTTTCCAGAGAATCTTGCCTTCTCATTAACAGATTCAGTTTCATCATTTTTGCCTCCAGAGATCATTCAGGCTTGATTTGCTCTAGGACCCACTTGTTTGTCTTTCTGCCAGTCCAGAGCATCAGCAAAGCTCTCCTCCCACACTAAATATATATATTTATAGGATGTATACAGATCATCCACACTCTTGTATTCCTGATCACCATGTATCAGTGTGACAGTTGGACAGAAAGACTTTCTGTCCAGCTGTCACACTGATACTTGGTGATCAGGAATACAAGAGCATGGATGATCTTGGTCTCCAACATCACATCCTTCCATTTGACGATCCTTTCTAAACCTTCATCGCTGCCCATCCAAGTCTCAGTCTTCCAGTTTCTTGGCTTCAGTCTCTCTTTTGGATGGATGATTGAACCAAGGAGTACAAAAAAATTAACTGTGTCAATTTCTTCATTGTCAACATGTAAGTTCTGTAGTTCTGGTGAAGTCATGATTTTGGTCTTCCTCACGTTCAACTGCAGTCCAGCTTTAACACTTTTTTCTTCTATGAAGGACTGCACCTGGCTATCTGAGTCTGTCCACTCTTTTGCCTTTCAAAAGAGGCCTTTATTTCTGTTCAACCATTCTTGTCTCAGAGGCTTGTTTCGTGGGGGCGCGAGAGAAAGCTTTATTGGTGGCTGCTCCCAGATTTCTGTAGCTCCCTTCCGTCTTTTCACCCAGTAGCCAAAAACATTTTTATTTCAGCAGAGCTTTGGCCACTGCTGAGGACCTTGTAATGGCAGCTGTTGCTTTGCTGTTATAGTTGTTGTTTTAAAATATTTTTAAACTGTATTAATTGGTTATTTGTTTTAATCTGCTGCTGTTTTTGTCCTGTAATTTACTTGGGTTTTTAACCACAGCTGATTTTAAAATTTCCATTGTAGGCTACCTTGCAGCCTGCAAGGGAGATAAGCATGATATAGATAAAAATAAATTAATTGAATCGAAATCTGGTGAAATGGATTCTACTCTTCCATATCTTTTACAGTTCTGGTTTTAGGGTGGAAGGGGTGGGTTAGGTGACCCTTTAAGTACATCATGACTCAGTGGGGATTTTCTTATATATATTTGAGATTGCACAGAATTAAAATTCTTGTATTTTATGGGGGGGTTGCCCCATTATTTACATTTTTCCTCAGTGGCCAGGTCAACACAGTATTGCATGCATCTGCGGAAGCGGGCTCTGGGTCATGTTTATTGTAATTTCATTCTTCTCTTTATAGATCTGTTAGTCTTCAAAGAGCCACAGGCCTTATTTGTATCTAACTTTCAGCATGAATAATGTAATGCATGTTGCAGGGCCCCCTCCCCCATCCTTTCGCCCACCCTTGTTCTTCATCAGGAACGTTTGAAATCCACTCTTTGTAGAGATGGGGACAACTCTCCATTTTGGCGAGTCGTCCCACTTCGTGAGTCATCAAAAGTTGACGACCCAGGAAGCACGAAGTTGCCCCCATGAAACAATAAATAACAAAGTTATTCGTCGATTCATGGGGGGTTATTTAAAAATGCCCCTGCTGCCCCCCCCCCCCACAGCCAGCCACCCCAACAGCTTACCTCCCGCACCATTCCTCTCTCTACCTTAGTCCCCCCACCGACACCCCCTTACTATAATCACCGTCGCCAAGGCCTCCATCTGGCCTCCCAGCCATGGCATGTAAAAAGGGAGACTGGCTGTCCTTTGAAAAGATGGTGGCTGCGGCTTCATTTAGGGTAGGGAAGCTGCAGCTGCTATCTTTGCAAAGGGCAGCCTGGACTCCCTTATGGCAGGCTAAGGGGATATGTAGGGTGGTAGGCCGTGGGGGTGGGTGGCTGTGGGGGTGAGTGGCTTCCTATTGGCAGCTGGTAAGCAGAATGTTTTTTAATATATATAAATATGAAGGACAAATAAAAATGGGTAAATATTTGTCCCTTCACATTCATGAGGATCTCTGGAACCCACGAATATGAAAGGACGGATATTTAACGAATTGGCTATTTTCGTCGAAAAAGCCGATCCGTTTTTATATTTGTCCTCATCTCTAACTGTTACTGTTGATCTGGAATGAGTACTATGGCACCTTAATGGCTAACAAAAGTTATAGATGCGTAATTTGTTTATAATGGAACCTGCAAATTCAGATGCAGTTAGGAAGAACTGCACATGATAACAGCCACAAGGCCGTGAGATACAAGGGATTATTGCTTAGGTAAGAATCCACATGCAAGTTCTTCTTGAGCTTAGGAAAGACCTGCCACTATTACCATTCATGTTTCAAATGAGTTTTGTTTATGTGTTCATTTTTCCTGGCAGAGCCTTTCATATAGAAAGGATAGATGGAATTGCTGATTCTTCTCCAGGCATAACCCTTTTCGTATTCTTCCCATTCATTTTATTATTGTCCTGCAGTCCTTTTTTGTTTGTGCTTCTTTAGCCTGTACTTTGCATTTATCCAATACCTGTTGGAATGCTGCATCTCAAGGGTTTGCCCCCTCTTCCCATATTTGCCCTGCCTCTGAGTACTTACCATAGATGACATGGCAACTTATATTTACCTGTTATATAGTTCTTCTTCCATTGGTTCTATCTTGTGTTTTGAATTTCCATTCATTATTCTTATCAGAAGATAGGTGATAATGAAGGTGAGCCCTAAGACTTGAAGTAGCAAGGAAGGTTGCTTTGAAGTGTGGCCCAATGAACTTGAACATGCATCATTCCACAAACAGCAGATAAACATCTACATCTGAACTGGGCAATTTGCATATTTTAAGTGTGAACAGCACTCTTATTCTGTTTCTGGTTATTAAAGATATCTACATCCAGAATATCTTAATTCTATAATTATTTTTTGTAGCTCGAACACAGAGAGGATCACAGATGCTGCTTGAGTATTCACCCAGACTGAAGGACAAATTGCCCTAAAAATTACCAAAATGGGTATTCATAGGCAAAGTGTAAGATTAAACAGTGGTGCAGACATTAAATGATTGATGTAAAAGATTTGTCCTTGTTGATGTTCAGTCTGTAATGTTGATATAGCAGTTACAATGCTAATGTGAGCATTCAGTTGCATGAGGGAAGCCTGGTGGCTGAATAGCATACATATCACGTATTATAAATTATGAAGGGCATAATATCGGGTGAAGAAAGCCCCATGTGCCTTGTTACCCTCCAAGGCAATGCAGTCTGTCAGCTTTGCATGCTAGGTGCTTGAAAATTCCTTCCTCTACCCAGTATTTTGCTATCTCCATCAGACATTGTCAGTTGATGCCAACCAGTTGTCATGGCCTGGAATAAGTATACCATTGCCACAGAATATGGGAGGGGGTGGGAGGATAGCTGTCTTTCCATAAATGTTGACAAAATTTCAGGTAATGAACAGTTCCTCTCTTAAAGCTAAATATTTGCAGAACAAGATCTAAATGCATGCAGAGCAAGCGCTAATTCTCTTCTCTCCAGATATGTATGTAACCATGCTTCTTTGACGCCATTCACTATTTCATTAGTATTTCAGAATTGTTATTAAGACTTTATTGTGAAACAGTCTTGCCAGGTTAGATATTATTGTTGGGCAAAATTTTTCCCTCTTAAAAATGTGGCTGCTCCAAAAAGAATGTGCATCAATAAACCATTCAAATGTTAGTGATCTAGCAAAGCTGCTAGCTTTGCAGTGGGTTAAAACTTTCTTTCCCCACCCTTCCTCAATGTTCTCTCTCTTTGCTCTTTTTCTTCTACTCCCACTCTTTTTTCTTTCTAGTTGTTGTTCCTTTCCCTCCAGTGTTTGTTCAGTCTTTATGATGGCTCCTTTCCCTCACCTCCCCTTTCTCTCAGAAACAGGAGCTTTCCTCCCCCAGACTCAATAGTTGAAAACGGGTAGAGCCGCCTGTGAAGGAATGTCTCTCCTAGACCTGCCCCTTGTGTTGTTGCCCTTTCTAGTTAGGGTAGGTCTGGCAGCTGAGGGCTGGAAATGGCCTGTCGGCTGCGTTCAGATTTTTAAGGAACTGAAATAAAAAACACCAGAGTGAGGAAAGTGGGAGAGACCGATGAATCTGCACCTATAAAGAGAGAGAGAGAGAGAGAGAGAGAGAGAGAGAGAGAGAGAGAGAGAGAGAGAGAGTAAGACTGGGTTGCTTACACAAGGCCCAAAGGTGGTTGGTGGGAACAGCACCCACTTCTTTAGCTGAGTCTCCCACTAGCCGGTGGCCTCCTTCCACCAGCACTCTTGTTGGGCTGCATTCAAGGAGAATTGCAGAGGTGGGGTTCCTTGCTTGGGCACTGGGGTGGAACAAAAAGAAGGAAAAACCTTTTTAAATGTAGTCATTAAAAATAAGACAATCCCCTGGCCCCTGAAACAAAGCAAAGCTTTGGGAAGGGACAAAACAGCTTCAGTGATGGCAGCTTCTGTCACTGGAAATACCGAGTGAAGCCTTGCATTGTTTGGAGAGATGGGGGGGGGGAGAAATTATCATCTGGGTACTTTTTGCGGAACAATTTTTCCCTTTGGGAGAGGGCTGGGTGACCCATTTTAAAAACAAAATAAAATTGAGAAGGACCCCTACAGGGGGTCCTGTTCAGGACCCATGTAAATTTTTATGTTTCTACAGTCTTTCATTATTTAAGAAATCTGCTCCAAACTCTCTTAGTTCATTATTTATCTTTGGATAAGCAGTTGTACCTACTTTCCTACAAGAAATTAGTTAAGGAGCCACATAACGTTTTGCCCAACATCCCTTGTATTGATGGATCTGAAAATTAGCTCAAATAATTATGAGCATTTTGTACTATATTGTGTATGTGAATTTGTTCATGTGGGAAATGAAAGAATACCATTTTTTTTCCTTAGATATTTTAGATAAAAATACGTTTGGAAATTAATCCCTGCAGTCTGACTGGTGTCACTGCATATCTTCCTTGCATCCAGTTAAAAGGTGATACTGAGAGACTGCTGTATACATGTTGAATAAAACTTCCCTGTTACTTTGTGTATGTTTATTTAGGAAGTGGTTTGAAGTATATAATGTGTGGCATTTACTGACATCATGACAGCTGTTAGACAGAGAAAGGGAACAAAAGCCACAGAAATTCCAGAAGACTGTCAAACACATGAGAAGAATTGGAAACCTAATGGGAAAATTATCACTGGTAGGTTGTAGCTATTTTTAAAAATCTCTAAAAATGTCTTGTATATCTTTCTTGGTTAGAAGTGTCTCTTTTTGCTGTTATTTTTTGAAAAAGAGAACGTAAAGGAAAATGTGTTGTTCAAACTAATATAACATGCAGGATGCTATTGGTGTTTGCATATGGTTTTCATGACTTGCCGTAGCTAATTGCGGTGAATTCATGAGATGCTGAGAGAACATCTCAGCTCCACCATTTAAGTACATGAGGAGCCACACACCTATGAAGCACACTGGCACTTTGCCAATTAGCGATGGGAAGTTATGCAGACTTTATGTGAACATCAATAGGATTCCAGCCATTGATGCTGGGAACCCAGGAGTAATCAGTCTTTCAGACTAACTTTGGTATCATGTCTCATATATTTCCAGGATATAGGTTTATAGATGTGAATGCATGACTTTTTCTCTACAGATACTTCTCACATAATTGTGAATACAAATAAAATAATTGGCCCAAATGGTGTTGCGTAGCAGTGCCAGTGCAATGGGAATGACATCACCAGATGTAGCAGATTGCTGCTAATTTAATTGACCCTATTTTGATTTCCCCCTTCATGGATTGCTGCCTTGTCGTGGCAAAGGGACTTGAGTAATTCAGAGAAGTGATGGGCTATGCCATGCAGGGACACCCAAGACGGACGGGTCATAGTGAAGAGTTCTGACTAAACGCCATCTACCCGGAGAAGGAACTAGCAAGCCACTCCAATATCTTTGCCAAGAATACTCCATGAACAGAAACAAAAGGCTAAAAGATATGATGCTAAAAGATGAGCCCCTCAAGTCGGAAGGCGTCCAACATGCTACTGAGGAAGAGCGGAGGACAAGTACAAGTAGCTCCAGAGCTAATGAAGTGGTTGGCCAAAGCCAAAAGGATGCTCAGCTGCAGACGTGCCTGGAAGTGAAAGGAAAGTCTGGTGCTGCAAAGAAAAATACTGCATAGGAACCTGGAATGTAAGATCTATGAACCTTGGTAAGCTAGATGTGGTCAAACAGGAGATGGCAAGAATAAACATTGACATCCTGGGCGTCAGTGAACTAAAATGGACACGAATGGGCGAATTCAAATCAGACAATTATCATATTTACTATTATGGGCAAGGATCCCATAGAAGGAATGGAGTAGCCCTCATAACAAAAGAGTGGGAAAAGCTGTACTGGGGTACAATTGTGATAAGCTTGGTTATGAAAGTTCATAAAATGATTTATTGATGGAATTTGTAATCACAAAGTTAGCCCAAAATGAATTCATCTGGTTTCTGTGTGTGAGTTGAGAGTGGAAATTTCCAAAGTTGATTCCTAGCTGTACCTCTGTACATCTGTACTGTCCAGCGTGGCCTTATCTGGTGGTAACATAGCAACCTGGCTAGTACAGTGTTAGGAAGACTAAACAACTTTTCCTTAAGCCTCATGGGAACAAGAAAGGAGGAGATTCTACCACGAGGGAGATGGAAGATGGATGCCAACATACAGGACTCTGCATGGACTATTTAATCTAAAGGACAGTAAGACTGAGTTTTTCCTATTGAGAAAGTTTACTTTGGATTTTCCAGAAGACTGATGGAATGTTTTGATGATGGACATTAGGACTTGTAGTTTGTTTTAAGATGTAGATTTTCCTGAAGCCGGAGGGGAGTTCTGCCCCCCCTTTTCTTTTTTTTGTTAGCTAGACGTTTTCTTATTTTTGTTTGTTTCAGAGGAATGCTATCTCCTATCAATGGGGATGGGATTGTAAATTGTAAATATGCTTTGCTATGCTTAGCTTAACTTGTTTTCTCTCAGAACTATATTTTTCTAATAAAAAATGAATATGCCTAACCTCTGTAAGTTAGCTTCTTGAATAGACACAAGCTGTTATAAATAATTGGCTTATCTAAATTGATGTATTTTACAAGGCCACGTAACTTAACGCTACCAATTTGGGTCCAACTGATTTATGAGTGCTAGAAGGATGGAATTCCCTGGTACTCACGTGTGTGGTTTGGTTCTCAATAAAATCGGTCAGACTTGGTGCCAGAGTAAATTTTAGCTACCTTAAGGTAGCTACCACATCAAGAAGAGGTGGCAAGAATACACAGAGGAATTATATCAGAAAGATGTGGCTATCCCGGACAACCCAGACAATGCAGCTGCTGACCTTGAGCCAGACATCCTGGAGAGTGAAGTCAAGTGGGCCTTAGAAAGCCTGGCTAACAAGGCCAGTGGAGGTGATGGCATTCCAGTTGAACTATTTAAAATCTTGAAAGATGATGCTGTTAAGGTGCTACATTCAATATGCCAGCAAGTTTGGAAAACCCAACAGTGGCCAGAGGATTGGAAAAGATCAGTCTACATCCCAATCCCAAAGAAAGGCAGTGCCAAAGAATGCTCCAACTACCGCACAATTGCACTCATTTCACACGCTAGCAAGGTTATGCTCAAAATCCTCCAAGGTAGGCTTCAGCAGTATGTGGACCGAGAACTCCCAGAAGTACAAGCTGGATTCCGAAGAGGCAGAGGAACTCGAGACCAAATTGCTAACTTGCGCTGGATTATGGAGAAAGCCAGAGAGTTCCAGAAAAATATCTACTTCTGCTTCATCGACTATGCAAAAGCCTTTGACTGTGTGGACCACAACAAACTATGGCAAGTTCTTAAAGAAATGGGAGTGCCTGACCACCTTATCCATCTCCTGAGAAACCTATATGTGGGACAGGAAGCAACAGTTAGAACTGGATATGGAACAACTGATTGGTTCAAAATTGGGAAAGGAGTACGGCAAGGCTGTATATTGTCCCCCAGCTTATTTAACTTATATGCAGAATACATCATGCGGAAGCCTGGACTGGAAGAAACCCAAGCCGGAATTAAGATTGCCGGAAGAAATATCAACAACCTCCGATATGCAGATGATACCACTCTGATGGCAGAAAGTGAGGAGGAATTAAAGAACCTTGTAATGAGAGTGAAAGAGGAGAGTGCAAAAAACGGTCTGAAACTCAACATCAAAAAAACTAAGATCATGGCCACTGGTCCCATCACCTCCTGGGAAATAGAAGGGGAAGATATGGAGGCAGTGTCAAATTTTATCTTCCTGGGCTCCATGATCACTGCAGATGGAGACAGCAGCCCTGAAATTAAAAGACGCCTTCTTCTTGGGAGGAAAGCGATGACAAATCTGGACAGCATCTTGAAAAGCAGAGACATCACCTTGCCAACAAAAGTCCGAATAGTCAAAGCTATGGTTTTTCCTGTCATGATGTATGGAAGTGAGAGCTGGACCATAAAGAAAGCAGACCGCCAAAGAATGGATGCCTTTGAGTTGTGGTGCTGGAGGAGGCTCTTGAGAATCCCCTGGACTGCAAAGAGAACAAACCTATCAATTCTAAAGGAAATCAACCCTGAATGCTCACTTGAAGAACAAATCCTGAAGCTGAGGCTCCAGTACTTTGGCCATCTAATGAGAAGAAAAGACTCCCTGGAAAAGACCCTGATGTTGGGAAAATGTGAAGGCAAGAGGAGAAGGGGACGACCGAGGATGAGATGGCGGGACAGTGTCTGCGAAGCAACCAACATGAACCTGACACAACTACGGGAGGCAGTAGAAGACAGGAGGGCCTGACGTGCTCTGGTCCATGGGGTCACGAAGAGTCGGACACGACTAAACGACTAAACACACAAACAGTCTGACACATTTGGAGGGTGCCCTATTGGGAAATGCTGTGCAACCAAGGAAACCACAGCAGCAATTAATTGTGTGTGTGTGCGCGCGTGCGTGCGTGCGTGCGTGTGTCAAAAACAAGACAGTAGATAAGGGTATTTCATGGCAACCACCAGCTGGTAACACTGCTTGACAGGATGGGCTGTTAGCAAGCAGCAAAGCCATCCAGGAAAAGCTGCCTCTCGTGACCACAGCCGTTAGAATCATGTGATGTGCAACCTAGGACACCTCTTGCATTACATGAATTGCAGCATTAAGCTGCGTTATTTGCGCCTGAGCTCTGGCAGTATCTGATTTTTCACAAATGAAGAGTCTGCCTCACATACTGACTAAAATGAGTGCAGTACATGGTGAGAAGGGAGGGGGTGTCATTCCTGATACAGCATTCTTTCCCAATGCAGACTGAGGGCCAGTTTGTGGATCATGTTTCTTTTTTCACTGACACTGCTAAGGAAAGAGGATCTCCCTTGGAAGGGTCCTGTGGGTAGTAACTGATGCAGCAGAAATCTAACCAGGGTAGAGTTATTGCCACTGGAATCTCCAGATGATAAACGAGATCTCACTCGTGGGAAAGGTAGGGGAGCTTTCTTGAGGATTCGTTCACAAAGTGGTGTTGTCCCCAGTTGTTCTGGGATTGGTCTAGATCATTCTCACATTTGCTGTTGCTGTTGTTGCAAATCTGAATAGAACATCCTGGCATGTACTGTTTCATCC